TTCATTTATAACCATCTTGGTGGCCCATATGGGGATCTGATCTGGGGGTCCGGGAAACCTTTTTTGTCCGGGCGGCGCCCTGCTGATTTCGGCAGCCGGACAGGATTGGGGAATCCCATAGAACCAATCAGATTTTGAATTCCGAGCCACAACCATTATCAAAAAGGGGATGAAAACGGGCCCAGAGCTCTCGGGAACTCGGAGCAGAATCTCCGAGGCTGAGCTTAATTTTTCAGTCATAAAAGTCTATGTGCACGAAGAATCCACATGGGAAAAGGGACCATAAGTATCGTGTGGATGAGTGAGGTGTAATCAAGTGTGTGTGTGAGACGTGACATTGTCACGGGGTGAGTGCGGACCCCAAAATCACATTTCCACTATTCCGCTAGGAAAGTGGTCGGTTGCAGGGGAAGTGAATGGAACTGGGGAAACTCATTTCACACATAAAGCCTGCAACTCAGGGAGTTCAGGGGTTCAATCATGGGTGGATCGAGGAGGGAAGGTACGTTCTCGGCTGTGTGAGAGCTGATAAACCTCTTCGGTCCAGGACTTTGGAAGTCCGGGGAAAAAAGTAAGAGAGCTCACCACCAGTCGTAGGTCCACAGAGTGGTTTGCTGTGTGACTGACAGGCTGGTAACATTCAGTTGGGACAGGCTAAAACCACGGTTTCGACCGGGACTGATTTAAGGACTTCATTCAAAGAATTAAGGTGAGCAGTCTTGTTAAAGTATAGGACAAAAAAAAGACTAAACTTCAGGGGAAAACCCAGGGAAAACCTGGTAAAGGGCAGCGGGACTATTTGCCAAAAATCCCAAGGGAAAGCCCATTGGGGTGGATGTTGGAGCATTGGGGGGACTGCCCCGAGAGACAGGGGAAATCTAAGGAAAAGATGATTCATTATTGTGTGGAGGTATGGGGAAACATAGAAATTGGGAAATATCAATTTTGGCCCATGTTTGGCACATTTTATACAAGAATGTGTCAGGCACTATATGATAGTATATATGAAGAAAGAGAGCGAGAAGGGGAGAAGTTGGACTATGCCAGATTGTGGGAATATGCTGGTACCCAGCTATTCCTGGTCCGAACTCAGGGCAGTAACATAAACCAGGGTGAGACCTGGGAGACTTTAGATAACCTTCCACACCCGTATCTAAACCAGATCCAAGCCCCAGTGCCTACACCAGCGGGTCACCTGTCTCAACCTGCACAAGCACCGGCATTGCCACGTAACATACAGCCCTTGGCTCCGGTGGTGCCGAACCCGCCGGGTCTTTCTCAGCCCCCACATGTGCCACAACAGGCAGATGGTCCCGGGCACACACTCCCTGCCAGGGAAGCTGCCTCTCCTCCAGCTAGCAGGACATGGTGCAAAACGCGAAGGGAGAACCATGATGATAGTGAGGGGGAAGGGGACAGACCCTGTCTCTACCCCCTAAGGGAAGTACCAACCGCTCCCAGAGTCATTGAGCATGTAAATGTGCCAATCCACATGGGGACGTAAGGGCCTTCAAAAGGGAAATGGGGAAATTAATGGATGACCCTCCGGGGGTGGTGGAGAGGCTGGACGAGTTTTTGGGGAACAATATCTATTCATATGATGATATCTGCACCATTCAAAGGACATTGTTCAACGCGAAGGAACCGGACATGATACGGCAGGCTGCAATAAAGGATTGGAAACATAGGAATGAACGGGGGGGAGCAGGGCCGAGAGGTGGCCTGAACAGAGGCCATCATAGAATGCCCAGGCAGAGGAAAATCAGCTCAAAATGATAGGGCTGAGGAACATGGTAATACAGGGAATTCGGGGGGCGGTACCAAAGGGGCAGAACATCAGTAAGGCATTGAGAGTGCCAGGGGAGGGATGAAACTCCCACTGAATGGCTGGAGCAGTTCAGAAAAAGCCTCCAGATGTATTCGGGCACCGACCCTAATTCTCCTGTTGGGGGTATTTTGTTAAAGACACAATTGCCGATGCTCCTCTCCCCGACGCCCTTCCTCTGCCCCATCTAGCTCTGGGGAGAGGTGCGGGCAGGTTTCTAGCGCTTCCCGCTGGACCCTCGCGGGCTTTGGAAAGCGATATCGGAGTTCTAGAGAGCAGTCAGCGACCCCACGGTGAATTACGAAGAGAGTCTTTCTCTGGGGGCGAATTCCGTTTATTGTAATCCAACGGGGAATACAATATTTCGAAGGGGACCAAGGCGTGCTGCGCCTGCATTTGCCGGAGCAGCGCGGGCGGGGCGGAATGTGCTGCATCCAGCCAGAAGAAAGCACGGAACGAACTGCGCGAACGAATTAAATACTGAAAGGGGAAAAACTGAGCAGCCAATGGGGTAAAACCGCGGGGGGTTCGAGGGTGGTGGGATACGGGGGTACATCCAATGAAGGACAGACAGGGGAAAGGTCCCAGGTCCTTTACCAATCACCCGGCGTCCCGGGTGGAAGATTCTAGGTGGATGGGAAGGGACACCGAGTGACAGACAGGCATCTGGGGTAAACAGGGGGATGACTTAGCATTTTTGGGGATAACGGACACACGGGGAAAGGCGGGAAAACCCGGGGAAAACCGTTACAGAACCGGGGGTACATGGAACAAACCTATACATAATACAAATGTAATAAAACAAAAAACACAACTCCACACACAATTTGTTGCTTGTCATGGTTTGACAGTGGCACAATGCCAGCGCCCCCATGAAAAGGCAACCTCTCAATTGAATGCTGTGAAATGCGATTGAGAACAGAGCAAAGCAAGCTTAAGTTTAATAACAAGGGAAAAAACTTTATGAAGCTACTACTACTATATTACTATAAAAGGAAAAAGAAAGAAAAACACACACACAAAATTCAAAATGAAAACCTTCTAAAGCATTCTTCCTCCCACCACCTAACTCTAACAAACTATAGCAAGACACAATCTGGACTCTAATCAAGTTTCTACTCTCTAGATAATTGATATTCAGTCTATTGAGGGAGAGAGGAGTCTCTCTCGTGCCACAGACCCCCCAAGAAACACAGCTGCTACATCCTGTGTTTCTATGTCACACATGGCACCACCCAGAGAAAAAGTTTGCTATGGTGGCCCTCTCCTTTCTATGCACAGTGCTTTCACTACCAATGCATGGATGGACAGACTGCTTTTTAGGATTTTTCCTTTTAAGGATGCCCTACCAAGAGGGGAAAAAACAACAGTTCAGTTTTTCATTTTTGGGACCACAATCCCCCCATTTTCCCCTAGGGCCGAGGGTCTAAGAACAGAGATCTTATTCTCTTTTTCTTCTCTGAAAACAGGGAGCACTACCACAAACCTCCCTAACTTTTCTCTGTTTGCTCCACTTCTGTCTTTTCCCAGCTGAAGCATGGTCTCTTTGGCTCACTGGCATCCTCTTAAAATATAGTCTCTCTTGGAGGAGAAGATCAGTTCAGTCTGCGGCTACCAAGAAAAAGTCCAGCCAAAAGCCACTCTATCATCTCCTCCCACCTAGAATTTCTCCTTCTAACATCCCAGGGTCTAAGCTGTCTCTCCTCTTTTAAACTGAGGAGGAAAAAAATTTCACAAAGATTTTATTTCTCAAGGAAGGGTTAAAAGTCTCGACTCCCAAGGATGGCTCACTGCCCAGGCTCTGACTCCCACAGGCAGCTGAGCACCTTATGCCCCCCCCCCCCCCCCCCCCCGCTCTTCTCCTTCTCTGCGGTGAACTGCTGACAAAACTACTGCTTTCTTTTTCTCTCTCCCTCTCTCTCTCTCTCGGGCTGGGCAGGGGAGAGTCTGCACTGCACGCTGACCATAACCAAAGAGAGTGAGTTCTCCTGAGAATTCTGCTTTTAACCCCTCTGTGTTCTCAGAGACGTGTCCACCTTCAATTAGTCAATATCTATATTGATTTCTTCCTTCTGAGAAAATTCTTTTTCCGTGTCAAACCACAACACAGTGCCAACCACACGCCTGGGATCCTGTGGCCTCTGTGTAGCATTCTTCTGCACTGCGCTGGCTACCAAACGAGCCCACTTGTCCTCAAACACGTCAAACTGCACAGGGTTAAAAAGCGCATGGGCCACAGAACGGATGTCGGAAGTTGTCAGCAGCTCAGCAACAAGTAGTCGGATCACCTGCATAACTTCAGCAGACCCAGCACCATGCTGCACAATGGTATCTCAGATTTCTTTCAGCATTTTAAACAACAAAGGTGTTATGGTGTTATGAGTAACACCCCTGAGCACAGGGAAAACCTGGGGGCCCCCTGGTAAGGTTGCATCACCCGCTGTGTCTCGTCCCGTGGCTTCCACAGGGACAGCGGCAGCCACCTGACTGCAAGGCGGTGCAACATCACCTGACACCACGCTCCCCACAGCATCAGCAGAGCCAGAGGAGCCTCCCCCACGATCCTGCAGACTCCGCGAGGAGGCAGAGTTGCACATCTCCTCAGCCTTATCTAGGACCTCCTGCCAAAACCGCCCATGGTCCTTCGGACGCAGGGTAACCTGACAGGCAGGAAGAGTCCACAAAGTCGATGGAGAGGGTCCGCAGCCACGGGAACCCACAGGTCTCCCACTGGCCGCGTCAGCAGTCGCGCTAAAGGTAAACACCCCAGCGCCCTGCCGCGCCGCAGCCTCAACCCCCGCGGCAGGCGGGGCAGGCAGAGCCGAACCAGCCGGCACCTCAGCAGTGCCATCCGCAGTATCAGCTGAGGGCACCACGGCGGACACTGGCGCCGGCGCGGACCACAACTTCAGCGCAGCACCCCCATGTCCCGGGGTGGGGAAGGAGCGGGGCACAGAGAGAGACGCGGCTTGCGGAGACATGTCATCACTGGACAACGCAAGGGAGTCCGGCATGCCCCCAAGGAGCGTCAGACACGTGCTGCGCAGCTGCACAGCGAGCACTGCCCCCGCCGAGCGGGGCGGGACGGGCTGCCCGCCTTCTGGGGTGGGGCCTGATGGAACACCGACCAACGCCCCGCCTTCAGCGGCTTCCACTGCCTGCGCCTGCCCAGCAGGCTGCGCAGGCTCAGGAATGGGAGACGACTCCCCCCAGAAAACGAATCCAAAATCGAAGCGGGCGAGCCCACTCCCGCCGTCCCCAGGGGATATGTCGTAGCAACACCGCAATTTGGACACAGCGTCGTCACCGAGTCAGACGCAATCCGAGGCGGGGGCTGATCCATGGGCCCCCATTCACCCCCGAGGGCCGGGAAGGCACAGAGGGTGATTTTCCTCCCAGCACACTGCGCCTGCGGCGCGGGGCGGGGCGGGGTGAGGCGGCCGAGTCGGTTCTACAGGGAATCCAGGTATCTGCAGTTCTTTTGTACTGCTCTTTTTAATGACCGGCATTCTTGGTGATCTAGATTTAGTATTCAAAGGGCAATCTGGGGGGGAAAAAAAAGTGTGTGTGTATATATCTATAGATATATATGCATGTCTATATATTATTAAGTTTGTATTGGTTTTAATATGTGTATTATTATTAAGTTCCTAGTTCATAGGGTACTGGATAGCCATATGGTCCAGAGCAAATAGGCAAAAATCAGAAACTTGGTCCAGTATTAGTTCCCCAAATAACATACTGTCCAAACCTGGGTAATTATTGCTTCTGTTTCATTTTCCTCAAGCAACTTTTATAAAATATTTTACTTGGAAATGCCAGAATTGTACTTTCAAAAAATAAAGTGTGGTGGGTTGACCCTGACTGAATGCTAGGTGCCCACCAAACCCATTCTATCACTTCCCTCCTCAACTGGACAGAGAGAAAAATACAGCAAAATGCTCACAGATGGAGATAAGGACAGGAAGAGATCGCTCACCAATTAATGTCATGGGCAAAACAGACTCAACTTGGAGAAATTAACTGAATTTATTATCAATCAAATCAGAGTAGGATAATGAGAAACAAAAACAAATCTTAAAAACACCTTTCCCCCACTCTTCCCTTCTTCCCAGGCTTAATTTTACTCCCAGTTTTCTCTACCTCCTCTCCCCTGCAGCAGTACAGGGGGATTGGGAAAGGGTGTTGTGGTCAGTTCATAACACATTGTCTCTGCTGCTCCTTTCTCCTCAGGTGGAAGGCTCCTCACACTTCTCCTGCTCCAGCATGGGGTATGTGGCAAGACATCCCCCCTACCACAGAAGAGCTTATCTGCAGCTGGTGTGACAGTTCTGGACATTCTCCCATGTGAAGTGATGAGATAACCCAGGCCAGCTCTCTGGCTACTAAGTGTCACAAGCTAGTGAGTTATTTCTTCCTCTGGTGCCAGGACTAGAACTCCCAATAAATAACTGGGTGTGAGAACAGGTGTGGGGAGATAATCCAGAGATTTCTGACTGAAAAGGCACTATTTTTACAACTACAAAAGCTACACAAATTTCCATGGAGGTAAAAGCCTCCTACACACACCCTGGAAATGTGCAGGGGACTTCTTCCATGAGCTCAGACATGAACTCTGCAGATACTTTCCCAGGAAATTGAGAGGAAGAATTCTATGTGTACCCCATCATCAATTTGATGGTAAATTACATTGAATCCTAATCTATACTATTTCTTCACTAGCTGTAATATAGGTACCTTTATAATGCACTGTATTTTATCTACTAGTAGTTCTTTTTGTTTTATTCCTGTGTAGTACATAGTCTGTAAAAGTCTTATGTCTGATAAATTTGTATCAAATAAATAATTCATTTTGTAATAGACCTAATCAGCCATTATTAAGAACTTGCGAGTGAGAGCAATCTGGGATGCAGGCTGCCCCAAACAGAGCTACTGACAGAAGCCTGAGTCAAAGGAAGGACTTGTCTAAGCTCTCTCTCTCCATTCCTAACAGGGTCCCCCCCACAGAAGACAATCCTCCATGAACTCCAGCGTGAGTCCTTTCCATGGGCAATAATTCATTAACTGCTCCAGCATGGTCCCTTCCACAGGATGCAGTCCTTCAGGAACAGCCTGCTCCAGTGTGGGCTCCCCATGGGGTCACAAGTCCTGCCAGCAAACCTGTTCCAGTGTGGGCTCCTCCATGGGTCTGCAGGTCCCTGCTAGGACCCTGCTCCAGCAAGGGCATCCCAAAGGGTCACAACCTTTTTTGGGTATCCACCTGCTCTGGCATGGGGTCCTCTGGGGCCTACAAGGGAATATCTGCTCCACCATTAATCTCCAGGGGCTGCAGGGACACAATCTGCCTCACCATTGCCTTCACCATGGGCTGCAGGAGAATCACTGCTCTGGCACCTGAAGCACCTTCTCCCCCTCCTTCTCCACTGATCTTAGTGTCTGCAGAGTTGTTGCTCTCATATATTCTCACTCCTGTGAGCACCTCAGAGGTGTGGTGTCACCCTGGCATTTCCAGAGAGACACAAATCACTGCAATGTGCTGGAGCCTGCCCCAGGCCTACCAAGCCATGTTCACCACTACTCAGTACCCTCAGGGAAAATGTTGTCTCTAGATCTGACAATAAAACAACAGGCCCTGCGGCTATTCAAACTCCAGCAACAGGCCCTGCAGCTGAATCAGAGAACCAACCTGTGCTGGTATCAGTTGCCCCTATATACAAGAAGAAATGGACATAAAAGTAATCTTGTAAAAGAGCTTTAGCAAAGGAAAGTAAGGAGATCCAAGAGAGCAAACCAGCAGGGCTATCACAAGGGCCATTTTCAGTGCCATTACACAAGGGTTAACACAGGAAAGAGGAAGAGACAGAAGGGGTAACCACTTAATCCATATCCTTGAGTGAGCTGCAGGAGATATGAAAATATTTAGGTGAGCATATTACCACCTGGCTGCTCCAATGCTTGGATAGCAGGGCTAGCAGTTTGGAATTAGAAGGTAAGGAACACAAGCAGTTGGGATCACTTTTTAAGGAAGCAGGCATTGACAAAGTGGTGGGAAAAAAAGCCACAAACCCTTAGCCTCTGGAGGCTGCTCCTGTCAAGAATGAGGGAAAGGCATCCTACAAGGAAGATATTCCATGTCACCCAGGCAAATAGACTGCAGTAAAGGTATCCAATACCTGAGGGAATTAGCCATGCAAGAGATGATTTATTATAACCCAAACAATGTGCAGTTCCCCACAGATCCAAAGTCCTATGCCTATGACCTATGTGGCAGAAATTTGCACAAAGTGCACCAATGACGCATGCCAACCCCTTGGCAACATTAATCTGAAAAGATAATGTACCACCCAGAGTAGATTAAGATATTTGTCAAATCCAGGAATATGAAGACAGTATTTTTTCCTCCCTTATCTTGGCTGTGGAGAAACTACCAGATAAACTGATCTGGGAGTTCCAGCAATTCAGAGAGAATATGTCCTACTTCCCACCTGTATGTACCCACATCTCAGTGATTGACAGGAGGCATTCTTTCTCTCAAGAGAGAGGATATGAAAAGTACACATCACAGGGTATTCTGTGGTTTTACCTATGGGACCACATAGTGGAGATGAGGAAAAGGGATAGAAAATATACTGTTACGGTGAGCTCCTGGACACCCTTTTGTCCCCCCTTTCCCCGGGCCTCTGTGGCTCTGATCATGATAACCCCTGGATCCTCCTTCCTGCCCCAACGGGGTTGGCGGGGAGCCAGGAAAGCCCACCCTGTCCAAAACCTATATAGACCCCTAAAACATCCTGCTCTCTCTCTTTTGCCCCGCTCTCCATGGACACCACAGAATAAAGAGAGCTGTTCCAACATCCCTGGGGTAAGAGCCTCTTTTGAATACCTTTCCCTCTCCTGGTATTCCTCCCCTCATAGCCCCATATCTCTGAGCTGGTCGGATCCTAGAGGGGGCTGCGTGGAGGGGGGGGAAACTACAGAAATTACAATATACCTCAAGCCTAGAGGCAGGGGATATGCATTTCAAGGGAAAAAAACCACAAATGAAGGTTCTTCCAGGAAAGCTACTGCTCCAGTATCCAATGGGCAGCTCCCCAGGCAGAGTGGAACAGATAATTTTACTCCTTATCATATGGAAAGAAATTCTAATCCATTTACACAAGAAGTGGAGAATCCTATGACAAGGACTATAGGGGTCCTGCCTCCAGTCAGGTGAAAGAGAGGGACAACTGGGTTTACTGGACTGTGTGGATTTGGTGGCATAGCAGCCCCACAGGAGTACGAGGCTTTAGCAGACACTGGAGCACAGTGTACCCTAATGTCCTCAAGCTCTATAGGGACAGAATCCATTTGTATTTCTGGAGGGACAGGGGAATGCAAACAGCTGACTCTATTGGAGGCTGAGATCAGCCTGACTGGGAATGAATGGTAAAAACACCCTATTGTGACTGGTTTAGAAGCTCTGTACATCCTTGGCGTAGATCATCTCAGAAGAGGGTATTTCAAGAACCCAAAAGGGCACTGGTGGGCTGTCAGCATGGCTGCCTTGAACACAGATGAAATGAAGCAGCTGTCTGCCTTGCCTGGTCTTTCAGAGGACCCTTCTGTTGTGGGGCTGCTGAAGGTCAAAGAACAACAGGTGCTGATCACGGCAATATCACACTGACCCAGACTCCCTGACTCAATACAGAAGCTAATTCATCGACTGAAGAGCCAAAGAGTGATCAACAGGACCCACTCACACTTTATAGCCACATAAGGCCAGTGAGAAAGTTGAATGGAGACTAATACTAGATTATCATGGCCTGAAGGAAGTCACACCACTAAGTTCTGCCGTACTGGACATGCTGGAACTTCAGTACAAACTGGAGTCAAAGGCAGCCCAGTGGTGCCATAATTGATATCACCAATGCGTTTTTCTCAATCACATAATATGCTGAGTTGGATGGGACCCACAAGGACCGAGTCCACCTCCTGGCACTGCACAGGACCATCACCAAGAGTCACACAAGGTCCCCAAGAATATTGTCCAAATGCTTCTTGAACTCTGTCAGACTTGGTGCTGTGACTACTTCTCTGAGGAAGTTCCAGTTCCCAACCACCCTCTGGGTGAAAAACCTTTTCTTAATATCTAACCTAAACCTCCCCTGACACAACTTCAGACCATTCCCTCAGGTCCTGTCCCTAGTCACCAGAGAAGAAATCACTGTCTGCCCCTCCTCTTCCCCTCACGAGAAAGTTGTATACTGCAATAAGGTCTCCACAGCTGGCCCTCCTGGCTGCCAGGGCACTGCTGACTCATATTCAACTTTCTGTCAACCAGGACACCCAGGTCCCTTTCTGTGGCACTGCTTTCCAGCATCTCATTTTCCATTCTGTCCATTTATCCAGGGTTGCCGCATCCCAGATGCAGAATCCAGCACTTTCCCTTATTGAACTCGATATAGTTGGTAATTGCTCAGCCTTCTAATTGGTTGAGGTCTCCCTGCAGGGCCTCCCTGCATTCAAGGGAGTCAACAGCTCCACACAGTTTTGTATCATCTGCAAACTTACTTAGCATCCCTTCCAATCCTGTGTCCAAGTCATTAATGAAGGTGTTGAAGAGCACAGGGCCTAAGATGGAGACCTGTGGAACCCCACTAGTGGCAGGTGGCCAGTCTGATTTCACCCCATTCACTATAACCCTTTGCGCCCAACCCATGAGCCAGTTGCTCACCCATTGCATGACATGTTTATCCAGCTGTGGGCTGGACATTTTGTCCAGAACGATCCTAGGAAAAACAGTATCAAAAGCTTTACTGAATCCAAAAAGATTACATCAACTGGCTTCCTTTGATCAACGAAGTGGGTAACCTTGTCATAAAAGGAAATCAGGTTTGATAAGCAGGGCTCTCGTCTCATGAAGCTGTGACTGATGACCGTGTTGTCCTTCAGATTTATTTCCCAGAATAACCTTCTCCATAACTTTACCAGGCACTGAAGTCAGACTGACAGGTCTGTAGCTTCCAGGGTTCTCTTTCTTGCCCTTCTTGAAAATCGGGGCAACTTTTGTCAGCTTTCTGTCAGCTGGGATCTCTCCAGATTCCCAAGACCACTCAAAAATCATTGCAGAGGTTTTGTGATGAGATAAGCAGCCCTTTGAGGATTCTTGGATGAATTTCATAAGGCCCCATAGATTTGTAGGGATCCAGCTGGAGCAGCAGATTCCTCACAAGAGCAGGTTCAACTTGGAGTTGATCATTCTCTCAGTCATGGTCCTCCAGCTCAAGGCACCGGGACCTCCTTAGTCTGCCATCCATGTTGAAGACAGAGGCAAAAAAAGCATTAAAAACCTCTGCCTTGTCTCTGTCCCTGTTTGTAAGGTGACCATCCTCATCCTGTAATAACACCAAGGTTGTGGGTTCAATTCCCCATATGGACCATTCACTTAAGAGTTAGACTTGATGATCCTTGTAGGTCCCTTTAAACTCAGAATATTCTGTGATCTCTGACTTATTTTTACTCTGCCTATGGCCATTTGCGGGATTTGTAATTTTCTCTTCCCCCCCCCATTCCCCCTCCCCCCTTCACTCACGTTCCCCCTTTGTCCTGCGTTCCCTTATCACTCCCCCTCCCCCTGCGGTCCCTTGTCCCGATCCTGCGTTCCCTTATCACTCCCCCTCACCATGCGGTCCAGTCCCTGTCCCCCGCCCCCCTGCCTTTCCCCTCACCATGCGGTCCGTCCCTGCCCCCCCCTCGCCTTTCCCATCGCTGTCTCCGGGGTTTCCCTGCCCCTGTCCCCTGCCCCCCGTCCCATTGGCCGTGGCTCAGGTTCCCCCCCCCCGCCCCCGTCACTGGGTATAACCAACCCCCACTCGGTGCCCCG